AAAATTATTAAAAATAAATAAATAAACATAATTTGCAAGCAATATCGTTCTGAATTTCGTTGCTAATTAGTTGCACGCATCTGTATGTACATATATGGGTGCGTGTGCGTCAGTGCGATTTTGTGCTTTTATTATATTTTCAAACAACATGGACGGACGGACGTCGACTTCCGATTACACTTGGGCCTCAAATGCCGTAGTGTGTGGTTGTTTTTCAACTTGTCATGGTATCCTTCCTCCTTCCGTGCAAACAAATCATTCATCTTCTTATTTGAAATGTGATCCGATGATGGTAGGTGCGTTGCTTCAATAATAGTACAACCTGTAAGCATGTATATACAGTGCCGGACAAAAGTATTGACACAGAGAATTTTTCGCAATATCTGAAAAGTTTTTTATTCTAATTTATTTTCGATAATTTTTTATAAATATATAGTTCGTTCTTGCACTTTGTTATACTAAATTTAGCTGGGCAATAAAACTACATACTTAGAATTTCTCTAGAAAATCTGAATAAGAAGTTGCAAATTAGTATGCAAATTTATTGAATTTTCCTGAGTTTTGCACAAAGTTTAGATATTTTGTTTTTATGTTTTTTGGTGAAGTACGAACTATATTTTTATTCAAAAATATTGAAAATAAATTAGAATAAAAAACTTTGCATATATTGCGAACAATTCTCTGTGCCAATACTTTTGTCCGGCACTGTATGTATAAATAAATATACGTAAAACAGCGTTTTCTACTAATTATTAGGTGATTCGATGAGTAATCACCAAATAATTGTAGGTTGAAATTGGTGTTTGGTCGGTTGGTTGCCTGTATTTTGTACATAAATTTTTTGAGTTGGTTGACATAAAAAATTTAATTACTTTTTAAAAAGAATATGTTCAGTCTAACATACATATACATAACTAAACTTTCCAAAAATAGCGCAGATATGTGTCTTTCTATCTGTCTTTTTGTATACCAATTGTGTGACTTGATCAAACTTTGTTTGCGTTTTCCCAAAAAATTTAAATTTTAAATAATTATCTAAATTATTAAATGTGCGATATCTCTTCTAGTAACCGTCTCTGCAGTCAACCTAAGCTTTCATAGCTCTGAAGCAAGACTACTTGAATTGTCGTCCGATTTAAGGAACCGGAGGGTACTAGTGTATCGTTTTAAGGAACCGGAGGGTACTAGTGTATCTGTGTTAAGCTTTTGCAGCATCTCCAAGATTTTCGCTGAGTCCGATGGTATTACTGGTACCTAAGCTGTACCTCGTCTGGCTCGTTATGGGATTAAAAGTCTTCATTCATTTCATCTATCACAGCAAAGAGCCCCTTAAAAAATGTCCTCAGTCCTCCTGATCCACGCTGATCGTTGAGATGGCCAGGCGACGATCGGCACTTCCTACTTGGTGGTGAGTAGCTGAATAGAGGTATGACCTTGAGCTTACCGCGTGATATCTATCGTTGGGAGGTTAGAGTGCAACTTAAGCTCCCACTTTGGCCAGAGGTACTAGCCGTTGGACTTCCCGTTTCAAGGGGTATCATAGTTCTAATGTTAATGGATGCGCCTGCACTTGCTGTGTGGCTTCGTTGTGGTCTTTTTCTGACGTAGGAGAGGTTGTGATGCTGTAACTCTAGTTGAACCGGAGGTGGTCGATTCTATTTGCCATACCTAAATCAAAGTGCCAGCGTTGTCTGGCTGCCAAAAAATTCGGATGTCCATTCCACACAAACAAACCAATGCTTATTATTGGTGTTATTACTGCATTTGACGTAGCGTTGTCGCTCCTCCAAACACTTTTGTTTAGGTAAGGCAGTATCAGATTTTTTTTTTTTTTTTTTTTTTTTTTTTTTTTTTTTTTTTTAAACAAANGTATTCATAATTGGTTCGAAGAGTGGCGGAAAAAGAGGGCAAATATTTATAATAATCGAGTAAGTTTATAATAATCGAGCAAGGCTGACTCTCTTCGTAGGTCGCCCGGTATCCGAAGTACTCCGTCCCGACTGGGACCTGTAAGTAAAAAAGAAAATCGGTTTAGGTATTAATTTTCGGTGAGTTGAAAGTAGTTACATAGCTTAGATAAAAAAGAATTCTTTAAAAAAGCTTGTCATTCAATAGGATTTAAAAAAAAAAAACTAAAAACCCAGAGCTCTACTTTCGCATTCATGTTACGATAAGTACAACTTCATTGTCAAAAGTTCGACTTCTAGTCGGCACGGGTTACAGTCGTCCTACAGCGGTAAAACTTTATGTATGTATACGTTGACTAGAAAAATTAAAGGGGTTCATCTTTAACAAAAAATAAATAAAAATAAAGAAAAAATAAATAAAAAATTGGGGCACCCTAAAAAATTCTTTAGTATCTATTAGTTTGCATTTAATCCAGTTAAAAGCTTAGTATCCAGCTCTTAAGAAAAGCAAAAACTCCATATAAAATGACGTACAAGAAATGGCTAAGAAATTTTCTTGAGTCAAATTTCCTTAAGGCAGTACGCAGTTCTTCAGAAATTTAGTACGCTTTCTACTACGGTTTTCTAAAGTTTTTTGTGAAAAAAGAGCACAAGGCAACCCAGGTTTGCAACAGAAATATATGCCCGTTCCATTATTTCTTGAGGAAAGAGTGAGGCAACAGGCTGTGCGTTATCAAAAATGTCAAAATTCCTTGGACACACACGCGAAATAATGGCAATTTTTCCTGACCGTTTTCTTAAGAGCTGGATACTAAGCTAAAGAAAAGACTTTATATCAAATTTATTCGAGTCCTCTTTCCGGCTGTCGGAGTCACTGTGCACATTCGCCACTTGCGAAACCGAATATGCCGACGCATACAGATTAAACATACTCGCATGCCCATTAGATTTTCTGTTTGTAAGCAGATAAAAAAAGCACCATCAATATGCTGTACGTTTGCAATTCTACATTTCTCTGTTAAATCTCTCCAATCTCTACGGGGGTTGTTTCACTGCCATTTCGTTTCCGTTATGTTGCGATTGTGATTTTTCAGAACTCAGTTTGTGGCATGGCGAGGCGAAAACGGATACAAGCAATACGAATCAGCATTTAATACTCGGAAGAGTGTGAGTAGGGTTTGCTGCCACCCTGCTGCCATGTGCCAGTGACGATTTTTCCAGTTCGCACAGCATCCATCCCCCAGATATGTTGTGAACCGGATTGAATTGAATCAAGCCGCATGAATTCGACGAGCATGTGTGTGTGTGGCTATGGGCTCAGGTGAGGGTGCCCGTGTGTATGTGTGTGTGTGTGTGTGCGTGTGCTTGTGAGCCGCTTCTCGAGATGAAGAAGGGGCATATATTTCTGTGCTATGCGTAATTTTCAGTTGTCGTGTAGATTCGGTGAAAGGAGGTCGACTCGCTGGCACACATAGATTAAACGAAGAGAGAAAAGTATTTTTTTTTGCATTCAAAAGTGATTAATTTGATTTTTTGGTGAAGTGCATGCTTCTTCAGCACTAGAAGTGGGAGTGGTCGCACTTCTCCAGATGCTGTGAACTATTGCACCTACAACTAACTGCTATACTTGGCTCATCCCGTAGAAAAGTGTGGATCAAAATGATTTCGAAAAGTAGAAAAAGTAAAAATGGAAAAAACAAGGCCTCTTTAAAAATCGATTTCATTTTCTTTGTTTCATTTGCAGCCATTTTTGAATGATTTCTGTACAGTGGAAAAATGTGTACATATATTCTTTTTTGCAGAAATCTATATTCTTGTCTATAAAACTGTGTACTTTTTCTAAGTGGCAGCAAAAAATTAATTTTCTCCGCCCTTTTTTTTTAATTCAAGTGACCGAAGAATATCGATTTTGCCTTATTCTTTTCATTCTTCCAATCGTTTTTAGTAATTTGCTCTACATGTTTTCCTTGACTTGCTGCTAACGCTTTGGGCTTGGCCCGGCCACCAGATAGCCACACAGTCATTTAAATTATTTGTTCACACCGTGCTCTTTTATCTCGGCTTTCAGTTGTAATAAAAGAAAATAAACACTCGGAACTTATAATTTTTTAGAAAGCCAACTAATGACATTGCCTCTGGGCTATCTACATACATACACACATACATACAGATGCAGAACCCGAAACCGAAAAATTGCCTAGCTGGCAAAGTGTTGCCTGCGCGCCCCTCTTCCATTCAAGAGTTTCACTTCCAGTATAAATACTTAGAAAAAATATTGAATTAGAAAAGTGCTTGAATTGAAAATTGAGGCCTCTAAAGAGGGTTGTGCGGATTCGTGGGTAGAGAGCGTAGTACCTACATGCAAATACATACATATGTATATCAAATGAGAGGACATTGTAGCAAAATGCTCATCTCAAAGTGTGGAAAAGTAATCGAGGGGGTTGCTGGCGACTTGCCAACATTCGACTGTGGATGATGGGTTGGAATAAAAACGGTGGAAAAAAACCAAATTCGCAGGTTAAGTCAGCGGCATGCAACTATTGTGTTTCTTAACACTACAGTTCGGTTCGCGATTGTGAATATCTATCCATGAACCAATTCAAATAGTAGATATTTGATCTTCAAGAAGTTTGTGCAGTTTTATGGATGATGATGAGGGGATGTATGAATGTACAGTGTAGAACAAAAAATGTGCAAGTGGAATAATTTAAATTTCGTAGCACATACATTTTTTCGTATGGTTCGGGCCATTGTCTTTTTGAAAGACCAATTTTATTAGCTTTTCCCGCGGTAGCATTATGTATTCCAATTTAATTTTTGGGTTCAGCCTAGAAGGGGCTTGAATAACTAGTTTTAACATGCATATATATGTACGTTACTGAAGTAAAGTTCCTAAAACAAGCAGTAACACGCATTTTTTTTTTACAAAAAAGAAAATGGGTACGCAGGAGGAAAAAATCTCAGGCTGTGTTCCATTTGCCAATGTTTTGTCCAACACTGTATGTGGGGGCTTTTACTGCTAGCACTAGTTGTCAAAAAAAAGTGCTCAACCTATGCCTAGAAAATACATTAGGGTGATCCAAAATAACTAACCTAACCTATTTATGGCCTTAGAAGAACTTATTTGCTAAGAAGAAAATTCTCCCATTTGGTGTCGTTTGGCATTTGAAATTTTCCATTTAAATAACATGTAAACAAATTTTTTTCATTAAAAATGTTATAACTATTGAACCTTATGTAGATAAGATTTTTTTCCAGGCATATTCTTATAGGACATTAAATTACAGTTGTATAGCCCATACCATTTCAGTCAAATGAAGTGCAAGTTTCGAGTAATAGTCAATAAATAAATACATACTATACCAAGAAAAAACAATAGATTTTTTATAATTTTTTGGTTACAGCTTTTGCGATTTTTTTTTTATATTTTGAATGTCGGAATCCTAATCATTACCCGAAAGAACTATCTCTGAAATTTACTTTTCAAAAATATTTTCATTCAAATGTTGGCCGCAGACAGAATATCGATGGCTGAGTGGAAGATCGACCTATCTCGGCAGCCAGTTCGAAAACGCTCTATATCAAAAAACTTTTCAAGAACGCCCTATTTCAGAATTTAATTGAAAAACACCCTACCTCAAAATTCGGTTCGAAAACGCCCTATCTCACTTCAAAATGTATTGAAAATATGCTGCTATAGGGCGTTTTTGAATCGGCAGCTGAGATAGGGCGTCTTTGAAACGAATTCTGAAATAGGGCGTTCTTGAAAAGTTTTTTGAGATAGAGCGTTTTCGAACTGGCTGCCGAGATGGGTCGATCTTCCACTCAGCCATCGATATAATATCACACTTCTGGATTGTTTTCTTTGGGGTTATGTAAAGTAATAAGTGTTCATTGATAAGCCAGCTATGATTCAAAACTTGGCAGCCAACATTTCTACTGAAAATAATTAATAATAAATTGAAATGAAATGAAAATTGGACCTTCAAAATGGACCACCTACAGCGTAGTCGCGGCCAACATTTTTGAATGAAATTATTTTTAAAAAGTAAATGTCAGATGTTGTTTCGGGTAATAATAAAAAAACAAGGTCTAGATGGATCACCCTATAAAACAAGTGGAGTTCATAAAAACTTGCTTTGATTTTTTGAAATTTCGTTGCGAACGTTCTTCCGCATTTTATTTCGTAAGAAATGCATGTCTACATGGAAATCAGGGATCGAACACAGGTCCTACGGAATGGTAGACGCAGCGCCCACATATTCCAATCCTAATCCATAAAAAATGCGTTCCCTCAAACCATACACAGTGGTGGAAAAATAGATAGGGACACGACATTTTAACACATTTTTCCTATTTTGCTTTAATTTATTTAATATTTATTATTTTTTGTAAAAGCATAGCTCCATTATCTAACTAAAACCATTTAAGTTCTTATTCCAAACTTCGTGCAAAAATTATAAAAATTCTGAAAAATTACATCCAAATTTTCAACTTTTTAATCTGAATTTTTAGAATTTATTTTGAGGATGCAGTTCTATAGTCAATTAAATTTTAGTGCGAATAAAGTGCAAGTTTGAAGCTCCTAAAAAATCACGCTGATTTTTGTTAATTTTTATTCTGAATATATTATTTTCGAACATACTTTTTATGGAAGAAAACGCGTAAAAAAATTTTGCCAAAAATCAACGCGATTTTTTAGCAACTTAAAACTTACACTTCATTCTACTAAAATTTAATGGGCTATAAAACTGCATACTCAAAAAATTCGAACAAATCTGATTAAAAAGTTGAAAGCTTAGAGGTAATTTTGCTTATGAAATTTAATTGAGTTTAAGCTAGTATTGTATAACCTATCGCTTGGCATACTTTTAATTTTAGTAATATCTAAACCTGCAAGTCTTTCTATGGCAACTTTATTACGTCGCCCACTGTACACATGTACGTATGTATGTATGTACTTATGCACATATGTACGTTAGTACAATAGGGGAGGGTTCGCTCTACCCACAATTCCTTATCTTAAGCCGTCGTCTACATTCTCTCTTGCCTCATACTATAAATAATTTGGGGTGGATACTGTCTCGGGAATTCAATGAGATTCCCCATTGAGGAAGGGGGATACTAAGAAGGACACCGAAGCGCATAATAAATATATAGTACATAAAAATGAACTTACGTTTTCCTCCGCTGGTATCAAAATCAATTAATTTCTTCTTTTGCTCTTGCTCTCTCTTCCACAGTGCCTTTTACAACTAAGTCTTTAATTTTATTATTATCGAAAAACGCAAAAATCAACATCACTTACAACAAAAACAACAACATTCACATCCATTCGCACAGAAGAAGAAGAAGAAGAAGAAGAATCCGAAGCAGAAGCAGAAGCGACGACAGTGACAGCGATAAAAGCAAAAATGTCAACATTATCGTTGCGCATCCAGTTGGAGGGTGGCCGCGTCACAAAGACAATTCAATTTCATCCAAATACAACAGTATTTGATGCTTGCAAAATCATTCGGGATAAGTTCGCCGAAGCAGTACAGGGACAACGTAAGTGCATACATGCAAATGAACATACACACATACATATATGTATATATAGATTCATAAACGCATATACTACTACTACCAAACCCACCACCACCCACCCACCCACTCACATACATACATCGTATTCATTATACTCGTATTTACGCTCTATTTTCTGTTGCTGGCTCCGTTCACACAATTTTATGCTTCATCATTTTTTGTTTGTTGGTTTTTCCTTGCTCGCTCGCCACAGCCAGCGAATATGGTCTATTTATATCGGATGAGCAGCACCAACAGGGCGTTTGGCTGGAAGCCGGCCGCACGCTCGGCTATTACATACTCCATAATCAGGACACCCTAGAGTACCGACGCAAACTACGCACATTGCGCGTTCGTATGCTGGATGGCGCCGTAAAGACGATACTCGTCGACGACTCACAGCCGGTGTCGCAGCTAATGGTGGTCATTTGCACTAAAATCGGCATTACCAACCATGAGGAGTATGGCTTGGTGCGCGAGGACACCGAGGCGCAGAATGAGAACTTGCCGGACAATAAGTTTGGCACACTGACGTTGCGCCGCAAATTCACCGAAAAGGATCGCGATGCAAAGATGGAGAGTTTACGTAGGAAGCTGAAGACCGACGATGAAAGTGAGTATCAATGGAGAAAACAAAATTCCAAGCGTCCGAATACTAACTAACAGATGTTTTAAAAACTTTAGTTAATTGGGTGGATGTCGGCAAGACGCTGCGCGAACAGGGCATCGACGAATCGGAAACTGTTTTGCTGCGTCGTCGCTTCTTCTTCTCGGATCAAAANCAAATTCCAAGCGCGTCTGAATACTAACTAACAGATGTTTTAAAAACTTTAGTTAATTGGGTGGATGTCGGCAAGACGCTGCGCGAACAGGGCATCGATGAATCGGAAACTGTTTTGCTGCGTCGTCGCTTCTTCTTCTCGGATCAAAATATTGACTCACGTGACCCGGTACAATTGAATTTGCTGTACGTGCAGGCACGTGACGCCATCCTAGATGGCACACATCCAGTAACGCAGGAGAAAGGTACGTGACGCGCGTTGTGTTATTTCGCAGCTGAAAAGAAATTCTTCTGCTTTTATTTCTATGTGTTTGTTTTGTGTGTTTTGACTTTTTTCCGTTTTGTTTTTTTTTTTTGCAAATCAGCATGTGAATTTGCTGGCATCCAAGTGCATATACAATTCGGGCCACACAACGAAGCGAAACATAAGCCTGGATTTTTAGAGTAAGTTTGTTTTGTTTGCTTGTCCGGAATGTGTGTGTGCGAACACCACCTATTTGCATTTTTTTACTCCTCCTCAGTTTAAAGGACTTCTTGCCGCAGTCGTATGTTCGTGTGAAGAACATAGAAAAGAAAATATTTGCTGAGCACAAGAAACACGTCGCTCTTACAGAAATCGACGCCAAGGTGTTGTACACGAAAACGGCACGTGAGCTGCCTACCTATGGTGTAACTTTCTTCTTGGTGAAGGAGAAAATGAATGGACGCAATAAGTTGGTGCCGCGTCTATTGGGTGTGACCAAGGATTCGGTGTTGCGTCTGGATGAGCGCACCAAGGAAATTCTGGTATCGTGGCCGTTGACAACAGTGCGCCGTTGGGGCGCTTCGCCGAATACCTTCACTTTGGATTTCGGTGATTATGCCAATCAGTACTACTCGGTGCAGACGACTGAGGCTGAGCAGATTGTACAGCTGATAGCTGGTTATATTGATATTATTTTGAAGAAGAAGCAGACTAAGGACCATTTTGGCATCGAGGGCGACGAGGGCTCCACTATGGTGGAAGAGTCAGTTGCGCCCTCAAAGTAAGTACTACCTATACAGGTTGAGCAGATTGATAAATGTAAACAAAAAAAAAAAATAATAATAATTTGCAGAGCAACATTTTTGCAACATGAAACGANGACCTATGGTGTAACTTTCTTCTTGGTGAAGGAGAAAATGAATGGACGCAATAAGTTGGTGCCGCGTCTATTGGGTGTGACCAAGGACTCGGTGTTGCGTCTGGATGAGCGCACCAAGGAAATTCTGGTATCGTGGCCGTTGACAACAGTGCGCCGTTGGGGCGCTTCGCCGAATACCTTCACTTTGGATTTCGGTGATTATGCCAATCAGTACTACTCGGTGCAGACGACTGAGGCTGAGCAGATTGTACAGCTGATAGCTGGTTATATTGATATTATTTTGAAGAAGAAGCAGACTAAGGACCATTTTGGCATCGAGGGCGACGAGGGCTCCACTATGGTGGAAGAGTCAGTTGCGCCCTCAAAGTAAGTACTACCTATACAGGTTGAGCAGATTGATAAATGTAAACAAAAAAAAAAAATAATAATAATTTGCAGAGCAACATTTTTGCAACATGAAACGAATAAAATTGGTAAAATTAACACCGAATCACTGGCACATCCAGAAATTCTACGTGCGTCAGATGGTGAGTTGGAGTGTACATAGCTGTTTTTTTCGCTAAAAGGCTTCCATTTAATTGTTTATAATTTTTGTCGCTTAATATTTTTATATTTTCATTTTGTATCTTTGTATATATTTTTCGCACGAATTATGTCTACAATGCACAAATATTTAAAATAGGCGAAAGAAAATACACCCAAGGCGAAGTACAAACAGTTCAATATGGAGCCTTCGTTGGGCAAGTTAACCACGCCCATCAACCGCCAACGGTAAGTAGATAAATAGAGTCCACAAAGAGTATTTTTTTATATTTTTTAATTTAAAGTGAAACTTCTTACGCGGAGGTAGTGAATTAAAAAATCGTCACGTAAGTGAATCTCTCTTCCTTCCCTCTCTTGTCGCAGCGGTTCATGATTTAAACTGTGAAAATACTATTACCGTATAGTCCGATTCTATAATTTCAAACAAAGAAAATATTCCCAATCGCATAGTCATAAAATCAGGACGTAAAATACAACTTTCTGCAGTACAAAACGAATCGAGAGAAGTTTCACTCTCGCGCCCAGGCGCGCTCATTTTTGTTTTATTTGCAACTTTTGTCTGTTTTGCCATAAGCTTTATGTATGTATATAGACATGCCATTACATGGTGATATCAACTCATTATGAAATTCTAATAAAAAACTCATTTCATTCCGTTTATGCTGCACTCGAAAAGGTCAAACAAAATTGCATAAAGTAGGTCTCATTTAACCCCTTTCTATAGTTTGAAACATATATTTTTAGTTAGAAATCCGCTAACTTATCATCCGTCCCATTTTTAGACGAAGGAAGTGCGCATAAGCACAGTGAACCTGACAGAACCGCAGCGCGCTCTACTTGGTTACATCTCGGCCGGTCAGGACGTTTTGATGCGCGCTGATGAAGAGCTAAGAACAAAGGTGAGTACGAGTTAGGTGGCAGCCTCTTCTAATGGCGCATAAAACCGTCCCATTTGTTTCGCCTTTAGGCTCCCATACAAGAATTGGGTACCGACTTGAGATCAATCGAGTGGCGTGAGAATACGTTGGATACTTCCAAGCAGGCTGTTACTAGTCACGTTGCCACTATGAACGCGGCTACCGCACAAATAATTACGGCTTCCCAACTGGACGAAGTCGACACGGAGGCCATTTCCGCGTCCGTTTCGCAGATAACTCAGACAATTCCGGAGGTTACTAAGGAGGTGCGTTTAATCGCTGCTCTCATGGAGGACAGCAACAATGGCGATCGATTGCTTGATGCAGCTCGCAATCTATGCAATGCTTTCAGCGATTTGCTGAAGGCCGCTGAACCGGAGAGCAAAGAACCAACGCAGAGTCTGATCAATGCCGCTAGCCGCGTCGGCGAAGCAACCACGCATGTGCTCAGCACCATAGCTGAGGAAGAAGTGCCTGAGAATAGTGATTTGC